AAAATGAAGCCTCTGGCTCAGGCTCTCCATGGTCCTCCGCAAACAATCGTGTTTTCATGTCCTATTTACCTTCTTCCTCCCTCTCACTCCATATCTCTACTGCAAAATCGAAGAATTTCGCGTATCTTCTGCTCCTCCAAAACGGTGCGTTTCCGTTCATCTACGGACTGCTCCACCTCCACTCATTATCTATTCTAAAAATTGAAAGCTTTAATAAATTTCCTTTTCAGATAGAAGAGAAAGGTTCAAAGCCGGACTACAAGCCAGGAATCTTGGACCATTTTTTCATGAATTCTTTTCGTAACAAATTGGTAAAGGTAAGTTTTGACCTTATATTTGCAAAAGATTATTTGAGCCCTTCGCTTTATTTTCTTGTAAAATTATACTACTATATGACAAATGAGCAATATTTGTTGGGTTTCTTTCTAAGGGGTATCACAGGAAGTTGGATGTGATTCTGCCAAGCCTGGGTATGATGGACTGATTGAATTGGCGAAAGCCCTTATGATGAACAGCAGAAGCAATTCTCATACCAAAGATGCTGCGGTGTTCTAATATAAACTCTTATCTCTCTGTTTTCCTCATCAGCCATTTTGATCTTCCTTTTTTTTCTTTAAATCTTGTTTTCTTATTAATGAGTGATTGTTATAATGTTATGGTTTTGAACATGACAGGTTCGAATATTGAAGTCACTATTTCCGCCATTTTTGTTAGAGCTTTACAAAATCCTTATAGCGCCTATAGATGGAGGGAAGGTAGCTGCAATGATGGTTGGTAAGTTGAATGAATCTTCAAGGGAATTGGGAGAGTTTCAAATAGTACTTGATTTTTAAGATGCGTGGTTAATAGATTATTACGATATTAAATGCAAGTAATATTTTCTGTCTTTGGTTAAGCAAGGGTGACTGTGCTTACTTGTCAATGGCTTATGGGCACATCTACGGTTAATTCTGTGGATCTTCCTGATGGGACCTCTTGCAGTAGCGGGGTAAACTTTGATTTCAGATAACGTTTAATGTCAACAAAATGAGCTTCATTTTCATGAATAGACGACAGCTGGGTTCTGTCTTCAATTATCTGCAGGTTTTTGTAGAGAGATGTAAGTACTTAGAGGAAAGTAAGTGTGTAGGAATTTGTATCAATACCTGCAAGCTTCCAACACAGGTGAGTATTTACATGGATGGCATTGTACAGCTTACCTGCAACCTAGGTGCCTTAACTTTGAGTTCTCGCAATCTGGTTTTGCAGAGTTTCTTCAAGGATTGCATGGGGGTTCCTTTGGTGATGGAGCCAAACTTCAGCGACTATAGCTGTCAGGTAAACCCAGGGTCATTGCCCAGTTCTTTCTTCCTAAA